CAACAAGAAGTGACCACCACCAGCTTTTAAAGGCATTTCATAGGATATTTATTTTGCTGACTTACTTTCTGATCTGAGACAATCCGTTCATCACCGGCCTTCGTGTAAAACATCTTTGGTATCTGGACGCTGTCAAAGTTGTCTCCAGTAATKTKCATTACTAACCCACCACTGAAAACAGAAAAGATTTGTARATTTCTGACCAAAGATTGACAGGTAATTTATTCCACAATGATAAATCAATCCAATTGTTCATTTTTGAACAACTACTGCTAATYATAAATGACAACAAACATCATCTAAAGGATGTCAAGAAACTACTACTCAGTTTAYAAAGCAAATCCCACAACATGATGAACTACATACCTTGGAAACGTTKTMTCAGGTTCAATCTTCAAAACAATGGGATCTGCTGTGAATTCAAACTGAACTRGTGGGCTTGGTGGCCGAAAACCATCAAATGACACAATGACATTGCCCAGTAATGACGATGACGAGTCATTGGATGCAGCTCTGCGAGACCTGGATGACGTCATCTGAGTCACACATGGAATACTAGTGTCTGTTACCCTAGGAATAAGTCAGGTCAAATGTTGGTAATACTTTTCTAATAATGGCAATATACTGTGAAAACAGATTTTATTCTACATAGTAAAATAGGGTAATCTTAAAAAACTGACAATAAACACTTTCATCTATGTCCAAGAAATAACATGAAATTGACTTGAATTATGAATTATAGCATTGCTGTTTTTATTTTAATAATTCAATGGTGTTTTCTTTATACTTGTACTGTACTATGAGTGGGACACCGTTACCGCACGGTTACCGCACAGTTACCAGACCTGCCCTGCACAATTTTAGTGAACCAATGGGGCACTAGAATTTGGTTACAGTACGATTACGGTCACAGTACAGTACCGTCCGTTTCCCACTCATACGAAATCCGCTCTAAAGATACTCTTACTTGGCTCTGTCTACAAGACATGGTGTATCTCCAAGCCATGCATGAATCATTCTACCAGTGTTCAACTTGATACCCGTAATGTTGACAAATGAACCTCCAGATTTTGGTCCTTTTTTGGGATGAAAATCCATGATTTTTGGTGTCTGGAATCATAACCCATAAATAGATATTATACAGTTGCAATTTAAAGTGTTTCTTGGTAGAAGAGAAACAGCAATATTTGCACAGATTACATACCTGGTATGAAAACAGTGTYTTTGAAACTCCCTCAAAGTTATTGACAATGATTCTGAYGGGTCCTTTGAAATCYCTTCCACTACTCGTTGTATTACAAACAATCCTTAAGAAACATAAAGATAAAAGATATAAAGATATAAGATWAAAAGTCATTAGCCTTTGCTCGTACATGGGTATGAAATATAAATGTGGCTTGCATGTAATACCATGGAAGGGAAAGGAGAGACGCATACATAGCCTACCGTTTGGATACTTTGTATTCCTTGCTGTCAGGAATACATGAATAGTTTCCAATGAAGACAGTGTTTTTGATGTCTAGAAACTCCTTTCCAAAATCCACTCCATCTATTTCTATGGTTGTTCCTCCTTTTGGTGGCCCAGTTGTAGGCCAAAACTATACAAATACAGATAAAATTAATGTTAGATTATACACATTATTACTACATCCATGCAGATTTAGATGTTTGCTCAAATTTCAAGTCTTTTCTTTAAAGTCTTGTGATTTTCTATCGTTAACTCTTCATACCTTCTTTATCAGTGGCTTTGTGTCACAAGACCTAGACCTGTGTTTCCACAGMAGAGGACAAGCTTGTTCAACTTGACAGGAACTAAYGTCTGCTTTACACCATCCACACTTWAGTATGGGTYTAGCTGTCAAGCAYGTACTGCAATCTCCTCTATTCACACTGCACTTGTATAGAGTAACTACAAAAACAATTTATGTATGTCAAAAGAGACTTTTTTGTCAGATTAACCAATAATAAAGGTATTGTACCCTGGTCATACTAATTTCCTGTGATACAACAAATGACTAACAAGCTACCCATTGAAATTTCCTGGGAAATCCTTTTTTAGTAGAAATGAATGATGACAAACCTGTTACTGACTTGGGTTTTTGGATTTCATCTACTCCTCGCCAAAGAACACGCAGTTTAGCAGATGAGAACTGCGTGTTAGCTTTGTATGAATACTAAAAATAKATATCTCAAATAAGAGACAGAAAATTTGCAATCTATAATAATAGAGTGTTAGCTCGCACTTGAGTTTACATGGAGTTGTATTGCTACAGTTGTAGTACATGACAATCTATCAACAAGTGAATGTTGTGAGATACATATTCCAATAAAATCTCTTCACCTGATGGTTTAGAAAAGATGCTTTTAGTAAATGTTCTCTGTATGGCTCAATTATCAAGCATTTGATTGGTATACAATGTAATATTCACAATATCATTTGAACTGTTTTAAGCTAAAAAAATGGCTTATGCAGWCTAATCACTTACCACTTTAGGATTGCAAGTAAGTAGAGAGTCACTATTCCTTGTTGCGTCAACATGGAAGGGTGACTCAGATGCTCCAACCAACAAAATACACTTGAACCCATAGTTACCCTAAAAAAAACACACAAAATAAAACATAACCAATTACTAGTAAAACAACATAAAAGTCATAAATCAAGCCGCCAATAGCGACACAACTCGAAGATTGTTAGACAAGTATACCGTGGACATAAATCTGTATGMMRCCTCAGRCTTTGTTCAGACCTCAAAAATCACATTTTGTGTGTTTAAAAAGCCATTTCTGCATCAAAACACCTGGCCATCTTGGTTACAGATTTCTAAATGCCCGTATGYTTACAGAAAAAATAAGTGACTTATTAACTAGTCCACCTCACCTCACACACTATCATCTACTACCTCCTATAACTCTTCGATTGCTTCGCAATCTTCAAGTTAAAAACAATTATAAGAGGAAATTGCTATCTAATCAAAGACAGGTCAACTGTCTTGAGAACATTCAAAAATACATGTAAGCATGTTTCTAAACAATAAGAGCACATTTAAGAGAAAATCTCACTACCTTTAAAGCAGGAAGGTTCCTTGCTTTGATTTCAAAATTTGATGAAATATCATTTGGAAGAAATAGGTTTTGATTTTCTTCAAGGTAGGGACAACCAACAGCATTCAAAGGRCGTTTCTTGTTTAAATGAAAATAACAATATTAGTTTTTACAGCATCTTGGCAAACAAACAAAAAATACATACTAACATTTTTTGAGAGAACAGCTTCTCCAACATTTGGACAATTTGCAATTGCATCAGCAAAGCACTTCCCTTGATAAGTACACCAATCACAATCGTACTCACTCTCAGCACAAGCAACACACCTAAAATTGACATAATATATGCCATTTTATTAATATTTAATTAATAATTCTTCAAAAACTCATACATAATTAATGAGCTACTAGGCCTATAGAATGAGCCTATTTGGTCACATGCATGGACCTCTTTTATATCTGATAAAACACTCCTTATTAGTATTCTTTATATAAAGAATACTAATAAGGGTGACATTGATCAGATATAAATATCCATGACCCTAGCAAAGGTCTCAGGTTTGAAACCTGATCATTGACCAATGCAGGATGTCAACCGATTTAAGTGAACAGTCAAGAGCGCTTCTATTTTACTTTATGCGTATTCAATGTGAGATGACAACAGTGCTTTGTAAAGTGATCCGCGCATGATCAGTTTGCCCCATTTATCTCTGAACATATTTGTACGGTAATTTCTCCAAGAATTTTAACGGATTTGAGTTTAAAATTAGTGCTGGAGTTTTTGAAGCCGTTTAAAACACTCTCTCCCGTGTTTTAAGCTATACTTAATAAACAAAACAAGTTGCACCACATATAAATTTTAAATAGATCAAATGTTGAGCTTTCACACTTTCGATATATATGCAGTCAGTGTCAGATACGTTTACAGTGAATAAAGAAATATCTTACTATTTGAGTGTACAGTAGGAAAAAAAATTATTAGATTAAAATCCTTAGAAATGATCAATCTTTTGGCACATATTAGATCACTAGAAGAGTAAAAAATAAGACTACAGAATTGACAAGTGCCATTCAAACTTACCCTTTCATCTTTGTGCAGTCATAGAAAGGTATTCTAATAGACACAATGCGTTTTCCAGTCTCAGTAGAAAGCAGGGACAATTCAACTTGGATATCACCTGATAGTTATCAACAGAAAAATAGTCATCGAAAATGTGAAGAGATTAATTAAAAAAWTAAACACAAATAAGACAATATGATGACACATTTCATGTGTAACCCAATAACAAGATCAAAATGAAGGATTTCTTCATCTATTTCAGTACCTGTATCACTTGAAATCGGCGGTAGACCACTATCAGGTGTGGTGCATATGACAGTACCATTGTCAAATACAGTAGTTGGGCGTTCTTGATTTCCATAGTAGCATTTGTACATYGCTCCCTTTGGTGCTGGAGGTAAACTTTGGAGTGTTGCTTCCAACTACATTAAAATACATGTAAATCACTAATGTATTCAACGAAAATTACTGTACTTGCCTATAACAATACAATCGAGTATAAGCACTTAGCATCAAATACTACATCAAGTCATCAAGTCATGAGAAATAACCAGTGAATATGATTCACAAACTTATGATAAACAAACTGACCTGTGTAACACTTCCATAAGGAACCCTTTYAGGCTTTGTTGAAAYAACCTGTATACACTGTGAAGCATTGTTTGTGAAGCGTAGAGGATGGACATCAGAATTTAAACAAAATGCTCTTCGGCTACATCTGTAAAAAAATCAAATCCTTCATTGTGAATACATTCTGCAATATGTCTTGCCACACAACACTTCTCGATAAACAAGCACAGAAAACTAAASAAGCACATTTAAACAACTGAGAGAAAGTCTGCTATAAACCAAACTATGCATGGATACATGCAATTACAGCTGAAGATGACTAAATCTCAGAAAATGAACAAGAAAAAATCCATCCAGAGCATAAAGCCTGGAGTCAGTGGTCGACTTGATCCCTGTATACAATTCATATTCTTTCTCATGCATGGTTGAAGCATTCATAAGTTGAGAATTTTAAATTTTAGTTTCTAAGAACAGTCATTATTGGTTATACCAATTACATCTACATTTTTTTTAATCATGGAACCTTGTAAGTCCACAAAAAATTATTATTAAAGATTTTCTTCTGGTTTATCACGTGTATCTGTATACATATGTGCTATATTTGATATTATCTTACTTTGTGTACAAGGAACACCATCCACAGAAAGGGTCGCCATGTCCAGTACATGATTGACAGGTGCCATGAGAAGTGCAATCTTCTATTGGAACCTTCATCACCTGATGATAATTAGACAGCCAAGCTTTATATTAYGACGATAATTTGAGAAATTTTTATAAAAACCAATAGCATAGTTAGATAGATGACCCACTATTCAAAATGTCATCTGAAAGTAAGCAATTACATGTAAAGTGATTTGTGAAATTGTACCAAGGCTGAATGTTAGCTACAGTCCTTGTTCAAAACAATAACTTTTCTAAATYGGACCACGTTGATATTAGGCAAAGTAACTTTCAAAAGAGTCGAAAAGCAGTAAAAAAGCACAATGAATCTTGAATTCAGAGGTACATCTAATGCAAGAGAAAACTGTCTTCAGTTTTCTTTGTTTTTTCTTTTTGTTTGTTTGAATATTGAGACTTACTGACTTCCCTTATTATATTCATACCTTGCTGCTTGTACCCACATATAGTGACTGCTTGTCTTGGCTTATAACAAGTTTCTTGATAGATTTTCCACCAGTGATTGACTTCTTGTAATAAGGTTTAGTAGGTGATCCATCTCCAATTGAAACCTGATGGGTTAGATTAATGTTACATTTACTTTTTASTATTCAAAATTCATAAAGGTTATACGGTAATATCGTCTGGTAATTCATGCTCGATGCATAAACTCACTGGTGAATGATGGCTAAGTGACACTGAAATGATGTAAAATTATTACCTAACAATATTGTTTATTCTCCATTCACTCATGTACTTATTCATAAATTTAAAATGTCCATTAAGTTATGTTTTCATTATATACACCATTCTATTTATTAATCAAATTTATCTACCCATTCATTAACCATAAATTCACAATTGTATTCATTTCTTTGTTTATTCAGTTATTTATTCTATCATCTAGTCATTCAATACTATTYAGCTGATTCTAAAAGCACAGAAAGTGATATCAATTAATTTGCTGTTCAGGTGGAAACAATAGAGTAAAAACCAACCACCTTTATTACAGTAAATTTTAATAATACTTTACTAACCTTTAGCAGATTTCCACTGGTATCACCCATGAAAACTGCTGTAAAGTCTTCATAAGGCAAAGCTGAAACTGATATTAAGTTACTCTCTTCTGTAACTGCCTCCTTACTTAAGCTTATACTTCCACCAATAGGATAATTGCTAGAAGAAGTTGCTAACAAACATGCATCACGATAGGTTTCTTTGCTGCACTTAACTTCACTTTTATCATCATTAACCCAAGGCATTCCCAAGGGAGTGCCTCCTTCAAAACATTTTTCAACATTTCTCTTGATGGCTGCTTCAATTTCCTTYACAGAATAATAACATAATGCTGAATCCTCAAGTGGTTCCTTGGAACCCCTTTTTGATGTACTAAATGTGACAAATAGCAYGTCGGAACTGGATGAAATGCCAAGTTGTTTTGCCAATCTTACACCTGGTTTAGATACTGAAGCAGATCTTGCTATGTTAAAATCTGTACCATTTTTAGAGGTGCATTTCAGAGGTATTTCTGTATATGTCTTGTAGGATTCATCTTTATGACAGACATGAGATATTTTTGTTTCGTATTCCCTCAAGGCCTTGCTATCTTTTTTTCGCTTCATGTAAGAGCTGTAAGTTTCCTGAACTGCTATAAAATAATTGAGGCCACCACTGGCAAATCCATAGACGTAAAATACTTCGTACTTTTTATCTCTAAATGTCAGTTTGGATGTCTTTGCTTTATCCACCTCTAGTTCAAAAGCACTACCAAACATGTACTCTAAAGTACGAGTAGCAATAGCAGGAGGGCCAAAATCTTTCAATGCTTTTTCACTCCATGTTGTTGCTATGTAGAAAACGTCTGTGCTTGATGGTCCCTGTGCAATGATTCCTACAGCAGGGGAAGGCTGATTTGATGCTATTATATCTCTTCTTGCAGATGGTATTTCCTCTAGAGTGTCTATATTACGCAGTTCACAAGAGCCAAAGTACAAGCTTCCACATGTGACTAACTGTTTTGAGGATTTATGAAGTAATAATACTTTATTGAGGTTTGGCGTGGGGACACGCTGCTTGTCACAACGATCCGGCAATGGAAAACATTCTGGATTGTCCATTTGAGGTCCAGTGGTATTTTTTACTATAGTTACTAAATCTGCATTTGTCTTAAGAAGAAAGTTCCTTCCTCCAATGTAAAGATTGCCAGTTGCACTGTCTATGGCAATATTTGTCAACATATCTGGGGTTGTTAGTTCTTGGTTGGTGCAATTTKGAATACTTAAATACAGGGCCATAAATAACAGCAAAACACGTGAAATACTGAATGTGTACACCATGGTTGTAGAATAATTACACTCTGTAATTGTACAAACATGTATCAATTATTATGGATGCAAATACTATTGGCAAGGGCTATTGTGAAAGCCTTCATCTAGCGGCTGAAGCAGGTGTTTATGCTCTAGCACTTGKCTAACTTGCTTTTAATAAGAAATTGTAAATTGTTAAATAAATAAATWATTYAAGCAGGCAGCTTATCATTGATGCAAGACTGAGACAGTGAAGACAGGTGCTAAAGATGAATACAATACATGTGAGAAGCAGTGACAGAAGCAGTGAAATTATCGGTCATGGAAAGAAAATAACAAAATAAAAACCTTCTGTTCTCCATCCCTACTTAAATCACTYGTGTAAATTGGCTCTTRTAATTGTCACTGCCACATACATGTATTTAAATTATTTGACTTTTTTTAATTCACCATATTCAGCTTACATGTATGTGACTACCGAATGTCTAGTAAATCTTGCTCAGTCCAGAAAGATTTGATATTATACCTAAAAGGATGTCAACTTCAATGTGAACTTTACTAACACACAACCCACTGTGCATATTTTAAACAACTGCTGATATGATATCAGCTGGACTATGAATGAACCCAAACTGAACTAAATACACTATTTTTCCTTTAAAATAAMRCAAAGCAATTTCATACTAGGATATAATATACTTGATCAAGTCAACAATGTTCTACTAAATAAGCAATAATYCAATAGCTTCACATGTTATTCAAACAATAAAACACCTTTTCAATAAAAATGACAAACAACAGATATATTGTTTGAARCAAGRGTTTAGATAATGGAAAAGTGCCAGTGTCTGTATCAGCACCTTGGTGTCATAACAACTGCAATATCACCGTTAATGTCAAAGCAGTTGACTGTTGACATTGTTCGTTTGTGGGTAACAGTGTGTGAAGTCATATACAAAATTGCCKTAGGAGTAAACACTATCATCTTATAACAAATTTTTCAACAGTTCAATGAGYATTGAGGTCTAGGGTTTGACACTTTGTATCAGTACAATCTTTGTGCTGAATTAAATGGCAAAGSTTTTACTGAYTTYTAAACAATATCACTTCCGATCCCAATGCATGGAATTTGCCATCSTAATATTTCCAAAAAGGGCAAAAGACAACAAATAAAGACACACAAATCCGCCATTATGATCTTTGATGGTATTATCATAGCATACTATCCCAACAAGTCTACATCACAAGGCTAAAGAGGAGTTTCGAAAGAGAAACATATTATGAATTCTTTTTAAGGAGTAGACAATTTCTATTGAAGACCTTAAAGTGAGCAAAAACCTCAAACCTCGATGCAAAACCACAGTTTTGTTGAGGAGGGTTTGAGTGAAAACCTTGCATAAGCACCATCTGTAGCACTTAAAACAATGACCGTCAACCAAAAGTTTTTTTTTATATAATAACGGATCACCACAACTTTTTGACAAATTAACAATCACGTCGAGTCTGGTGYAGTGTGATCTGCTCGGTATTCGGCACACAGAAAATTGTCAATTGATTATTACACTTATTGAWTTTGTTTGATCATATGTTTTCAGCGTGTATTCTCGATAATAGCTGTGTTAAAACTAATACATACCTTAACTGCTCTTTTTTTGGATTGTAGTATTATACTTTACAATGGCTTACAAGGTGTGATCGTCTTCATCGCAGTTGTATGTGTCACTAGCTACCGACCCACGCTTAGCCTACCAACATACCGGGAATTCAAACACACCTAATGAGAGATTGCAAGCTTAAAACAAACTTATGGTGGYCCATATACTTTAACCAACYATCCAACAGTTAAAACCTCGATCTGTTTGTAAAACAGCTGTGTTGGAAGGTCACTAGATGTGATAAATATAAGGAACAAATTCAACACTGGTTGAGCACTTGGAGGCCATCTCCCTTGGAACCAGGCTCTCTCGACTCACTGGAATGTGTGGCGGTTTGTTGTTTTGTTTGGGGTCACATGGATTGAGCGATGTTGAAAAGATAGCTGATTTTTCTACGTTTTTCAAGCAAGTTAATTGCTCCAATTCAACGATGGCTCCAAAGAATAGGGTAAGTTTGAGTTTTGATTAAAGAAGACTGATTAAATGGTGAGCAACGCGTGTTTTTAATTGTTTTGTAAAGTGTTTTTTCAGTCAATTCGTTACTCTTTATTTTGAACTTTTAAGTACTGAATAAACCATTACAAGTTTCAAATATCAGTTCACTATCAATATCAAAACATCTATCTATTGCAGAAAACACTACATTGTATCTTTTAGCCAAATTTAGTTGCAAATCATATAACATCATGACAAATTATCGAMGTAACACAGGAAGCCCGCATCAGTATGACTGATTWTTAWTTTCTTTGTTTTTCTGCAGTTTRTAAGTGAATATAAAGCAAATTTCAAGCAACACAAGGTCCATCAGGAGTTACAGAGACAACAAAAAATTCAGCAACATGATAGAGTTTTTACTAGCCCCACATCTGAACAGGAAAATCCAGACATCAAAGCCAAGGCAAAAATAGCAGATGGTTTGAAGAGATCTGAAAAATCAGTGCAAAAGGTAGATTTGATAGAGATTGATAAGACTAAAAAAACTACCAATTAATACTTCAAGCTCTGTAAGGTATCATTAAGATTAGTAATAGTGGCATTTTTCCTATTAGGAAAACCTTGCTCTKAGATACAAAGCAGGATTGGCTCCATCAATGTCCATGCAGAATAAGATAAGATATCTTTCAGAATATCAAAAACAGTTTGAATGGAAAAGACCAGTGGACAGAGAAGCACCAATYCTTTCAGCAGAGAAAATGATATATGGTGGTCAGGATGGGAATCCAAGTAGAGCAACAAAAATCAACCTTCCCAAGAAAACAGAATACCAGTTGCAGTTTGTRAAGCATCCTTTGATCAAGTCCCCTGAAATTAAGTCAAAAGAACTGGATTATGATAAAGTCCTGTATAGTCCAGTTGGTAAGACTGTTAAYGATTCTAAGTTTCTGTTTATATGAGGAATTGATGGATTGAGTTTTATTTATTTAGGATATCAGGATGAGCAAGCTGCTGCTGGAAAACCATCCAAAAAATCCCCTCCACCAATCATTCAAAGAAAGTCAATGGTGTAAGTTTTTGTTTGGTTCAATGATATGTGTTTATATATTTCTTTTCAGGCTTTGATTACTATATAAATCTATATCACCTTTACAAAAGATATTTACCCCCCCCCAAAAAAAAAAAAAATCACTTGTGTTGACTTTCTGTTTGCTTGTCAGGTTTCAAAGTGAATACCATGCTAACTTCAAGTCACCTTCAAAATATGATTATGTCAAAGGCTCATGGGTAGGAGCAGACCCTCCTCAGTTTCATCCGCCTGATGAGGTATGATGTCTACTGATCATTAATAGCAATGATGAAGATGCTAAAATGTTGATCACACAAGCAACTGTAGCCTTCTTTGTATGCAAGTCTTTGCTTTGTCTTTCTTTGGGCTCCCTGTGTGCTTCACAGACGAAGAAAAAAGTAATCAAAGCTACAGTGTTTATTAGATATAATAGGAGGCATAAAAAGGGGCAAAAAAATCCCTATTATATGTCCTACTATTGTCAGCAACTGGTAGTTATTATTTTTTTGGGCTTTTTTTATTTGCSTAAAATACCACACAGGTAACATTGTTTTCAAGATTACATGTACATTCTTTGATATGCATCAAACAGTGAGTATTATAGTAATTTCCTATTGAAATGTAATGGATATTATTTTTTATTGCAGCAATCAGACAGTGGAAATCAAACATCAAGTAGTTCTTGGTATCAGCAGGTATCTTCATCTACTTTAAGTTGACCTTCAAGCTATTTTTCCTCTTTTTCTTCCTGTTCTTTTCATTTACTGGTTCTAACTTTTCTTTTCGTTACTTCTCTCTTTTTTATCACTATTTTACGCATTTGGCCTTCTATCATCCATTCTCTCGATCATAGCCTTGCTTCTTTGCAAATATGCTTTTACTTCCTACCTTTCCTCAAATTTTCGCCTCGTACATGGAATTTTACAAAAGTTTGAAAACTTTCGTAACKTTATAATCTATTTCTTCCCAAGGTCCTTGARCTCCGCGAGAAAGTCTATAGCTACAGATCTCGAGCGAGAGAAGGTTCTCACTTCCTCACYTTACTCAAAGATCTTCAAAAATTGGAAAAGGAAACTAGAAATGAAAGTAAACWAGTAGACGCTGAAGATTYCGCCAACCCACCAGTACRGGCAAAATCACCGCCCTCAGAACCGTCAAGAAAGTCAACACCAGTAAACAYAAATCAGKCMGAACARCAAGAAAAACTGCTAAAAACTACTGAAAACCGTATGAGTCAGAGRGAAAATAAAGAATMCGATCCTCTCACCACTCAAGTTCCAACCAATCACGAGGCTCCTGCAGAAGACAAATTATTCTGGGACAAAAAACACACATTACCCGGACCGTCGCTGAATAAGACTCATTCTCTTGATAACATTTCGAATGAGAGTACAATGACGAATGATAGCAAAAGAAGCAGCGCAGACGAACTTCCACCTCCTGACAGAAAACGRCAGGCGTGGCCCGAGTATAAACCAGTCAACCACCAACAAGTCATTCCACCGTATTATACCTCAGGYTCTTCAAATGGCGACCAAGACGAWTCGCGCTCTGATGTTACAATATCAGAGATGGAGAACACTAGTGACGAWAACCAAGAACCGACTCACAACGAAAAACGTGTWCATGCAACGCGKAAGTTATTTTCTGGAAGGCGTGAAAACTTCGGGCATGATCGTAAAGACGTCGGCWATGATCGTRAAGGTAACGGTGATGATAGCGAGGTYGTCGGTGATGATCGAAAACTCACTAGCGAAATTCCATCCAAAGAAAAACCAACAAAAGGAACGCGAAAATTATTTACAGGAAAGCGCCAAGACCTCAGCGAAGAGMGCAAAGACATCCCCTATAATCGTGGAAACTTCGGTGWAGATCGCCAACTCATCGTAGAGAATCGTGATTACAGTGGTAATGATTGTATAACTTCATCTTTTACGTCGGACGACGAGGGGTCTTGTCATAGCCATGCGAGCAGTGTATTGTCTGTTGAAGCCATGAACAAACGACGAGCTTTAGCTTCAGAAACTTTACAGCGAGCAAAGAGACGGCAAGCTCAGTTGTAACCATATCTATGCTATCTTTGCATCACTAGGTATATTAGCTGAAGGAGGCCATCGCAATCCAGGAATCGTCAGTCACGTGTCAGGACAACGAGCGAGATGTTCGTTTTAAAATATATATCTAAAATTTTTAATTGGTCTTTTTTTATGTAAGGATTTTTTTTTAAATGTCGATAATCATCTTCCTTATCTTGTCGAGCGGGAGTTACAGATAGACCTACAGTGGCGTGATGGACAGCCTACCAAGTATCCTATAATACAACGGTTTACTTTATTTTTATTTTTTATAAATTTTATAGTAAATATCTTTTGAAGATCATAACAGCTTGTGCTAACAATCTAAAATAATAAAAACTATTAATTAAGTGATTTTTTTAAAATTGAGCTCACCACGTCGAGAAAGATAGGTACTGGCCTATCTAGAAATGAAAAGAAAGTTCCCACTMATTAGTTTTTTWWYYTKKTYMWTWWYCMAATACATGGCGGGTGAAAATGAGTGAAAAATATAACCGTGAGCAGTGAATAATTTCTATACCGTAAACCGCGGTTTTTGTTCCTCTGAATTGCAGTTAAAGTATCGTTTAAAGTGTTTTTTTTTCTATAGCTAAAGCTAGTTATCGAGCCTGGATTCCAAGTCTGTCGCGAAAAATGGACAAACGGACAAAAAAGACCACCGAAATATGCGATTTTTTAAGACGTTTTCATTGCAAAAAAAATAATTCCGAAAATCAATTAGTTAGTTTAACGTGAGTCATGAAAACATTTTTTCCCGTCAGTGAAAATTTCGGTTCAAGTCATTCTGGTCACAGAGTAGAAAAGCTGTAGCAAATCTGTTTCCGTTCTGTTTCTGAATATTGTGACGTATATCCGGTCGATTTSYCCCAAAATTTCTAGGTGCGAGGCACAGCTGGAGACGCGCGCGGGTCGAAAGTTCCAGGAACGTTGAACCTATGGATGATGAGAACACCGTAAACTTCTAAGAAATCGTCTTCAAGAAAAAAAACAAAAGATGTAGATCGTTGCTRTTGTGACGTGTAGGTGCTGATTTATTGTTTTTCTTGGAAATGTTTTAATGAAATGGTCTGAAYCAGTGAGTTCAATGCGAAATCAACTGGAAGCATGGCTTCTCTATTGGCTTCAACCGAATAAGGAAGTTATTGTTGAACAAACGCAAGAACCTCTTGAATTCTGGTAAGATCATTGTCACAATATGGTTAGATAATGATTAATATGTTTTATTTTTTATAATCTTGGGAGTTTTTGAGTGGATATTTAAGCTTAATGTAGCTACAACTAAAAGTGGCAACTAAGCGAAAATTCCAGCCATGTAGATTTCGCGCCATCGACTTGATTTMTGTAGAAAATTTAATCCAATAACACGTTTCTCAAAAATTCWCAGTTGCAAATGTAAACAAAGATTTTATTATTTCTTGGTAATCAAGAATACAAATATTAAAAAATCTAGAACTTGTCTAGTCAAGCTATAAGCTTTAGTTATTTACTTCCCTCCTTGGACCACGAGGTGTATAGTGTTTATAGCATGTCAAAGATGGATCAACTATGAGGATTTATTTGCATWTTTGCTTAGGAAGATGTAATGACCGGTTATACAGTGGCAATGTTTTACTTGCGTTGTGTCTGACAAAAATTATTCTATGTTTTCTTGCCTGGGCATGCATGCGTGACATTTAAACAAAAGGCTTAATATTATAAAGAATTCCTTTGTATAGATGTCACGGATATAATWAGTTTTGATATATCAGATTAATTCACTTAAATTATTATCTATATCTATTGTGCAATGTATCGAGAATATGTAATTTGGTAATTGCTGGTTAATTGAAAGTGTACGTTACCTAGCCACTGCATTCAAAGTACAATAAATCCTGAGAAATATTATTGAAAATTAATGMAACCACTTAAATCCACATTAGTAAGAGATTGCCTGTTGTTATAAGTCAATGGATTTCAGTCTTTATTTGTAAATCCAACCAAACCCTAAGATTGATTCATTGCTAATAAACCTGTAATTTGGATAAGACTTTCTTTATTTATGAATATTTACAGAAAATGGATCCACATTTACGAGCATGGATRGCRCAGGTGCTTGAGCCAATTGAGATAGCCATGAAATAYGGGCAATATCMAGAAGCCTTATTYTACATCCAACAGGCATTCAGGTCAATGCCTCAACCACCACCACAGTTGCTAGTGGGGAATGTTTTGCTGTACTCTGCAGAATGTAACTGGCATCTTAATAACCACAACCGTTGTCTAGATGAATTAGTTCAAGCTCATCAATTSATAGCTCCAGCTCCTTCTGATCGAAAGGTACTCTAATGCTATCTTGAAATATGACAGTGATATCAACAAGAAAACCAGGAAACCTATTGTCTCACTTTGTTTCAAAGGTAACCTTACCAAAGGTTACCTTTCAAGACCGCACATAGTCTCCTCTCGCAGCCGTTAGGACGTTCACTCCCAGGAGTGACCTGGGAACGAACGTCCTAACAGCTGCGAGAGGRGACTAGACCGCACAGGGAACTGTCATGGTTTTATACAACTCAGGAACWCTCTGTTAAATCTATTGTTTACTTTATTCAATTACATTTAGTTTTGACCTCAAATAGGCCTTTTGCAGCTGGGGGTCACATGACCAGACCTACCTTAAATCAATCAGCTATCAAAAAATGATGTTCAGAAATGGAAAGAGTAGGTTTATGTTGGTAAAATGGCAAAGTCTCAAGTCTGAACTCTAAATACTTTAAAAATGACAGCAAATGTAAAATATTGATTTTTCTAAAGAAATGTATGGGAAAATAGAGCTGGACAGCAAGCTATGATCTCCAGTTCTGTTTTTGCATATGTTTCTTTAGAAAAAAAGTGATTTTATTATATTTGCTGTCATTTTTGAAGTGTTTAGTGTTGAGACTTGAAACTATGTCTTCTTACTTATTTGGATCCCATCTTTCCATTTCTGAACATCATTTTTTGATAGTCGATATATTTAAGGTAGGTGTGGTCACGTGACCACTAGCTGCAAAAGGCCTATTTCAGTGTGTATCTCATTGTATCAGGTGCATCATGGGTAATTTGTTGTGATTTTCATTCTGTTCTCACTAAATGAGATAAAATGCAAAAGTTTAAAACTCTTTGAAATGCTGCCTGTTTATACGGTCTATGGCTATTCGAGCATAGRCTGCAGTTTGATGTCAACAATTAAATGTTAAATTTTGTAATTTGAGAAATATCTGATAACCCAAGAAATTGATGCATTTATAATATTCATATAATAAACTATATGTTAGTGTTCAGACATGTAAATCACTGTAAATCTTAAATAATAATATTAGTTATAAACATTCCAGGAAAGTTTTAATAARTGGATCCATAGAACTGAAAAGCTCTTGGATCTCAGTTCTCCATGTGCAAAGGACCTTGCCAASTTTTGTTGGAATTTTCTTGCAAAAGATCAAAGAGAACAAGCACAGTGTTCTATTTTTCTTGGCCTCATTTGTGGTGCAGAGGATTTGATTCAGCAAGCATATTCCATGAATAGGAAAGTGTTTGAGGTAAATACCATAAACCTATCRGATATTCCATCCTTTGGCTATCTTTCAAAGATTTAAAGTTTAACTCTAATTCTATTCTGGGTAAATTTTGATCACTTTAAATGTCTTAACCATCATAAGTCTGTCTGTGCAACATAAAGTACCACTTTGCACAGATGATTGATTTTATTGATATTACTTTATGTCTTCTAGGAATATCTATCACACTGGAAAGGTTCTGGTATTAAAGCAATGCAAAGGAAAGAATACCCAGTAGCAAAACAGTTACTTCAAAGAGCATTAATGCTAATACAAGTTGATACATATATTGAAGCACGCAGATCCATTCTTAGTCACTTAGCTACAGTTCACTTCCACTTAAGAGAATATAAATTAGCCCTTGAGGCTGGTCAGCTATTATCAAACCTGGAAGGTTTTCCAAGTGCTGTAAGTATTGAAGCTGATTAAATTTGAATTTATGCAATACATTATATCCTGTGTGATATTTTGRCAGGATGAGGATGAAGCCAACAGATGGAAAGACAGAGGAAAGAAACTTTTCCAGGAAAAGAACTTTGAATTGACACTTCAGTTCTACACATTGGCTATTGAGTTTACACCACAGGGTTCTAAGTTCAAGGAACTACGCTCAACACTTCTAGCTAATCGTTCTGCAACTTACTGCAAGCTGKGSAAATTTCGGGAAGCATTTCAAGATGCTAATTTAAGTGTAAAACACAACCCTATTTGGTCCAAGGTACATTTAAATTAGAATACGTTTTAGAGCATGTCTCTTATAATTATGCAGAGTTCACAGAAGACTTGCAATAGATTCAGTTAGTATTGGTACTCAGCATATATATGCTGATAGAATTACGGCCATCTCATCCCCTTGTCATCTTGCCCCCACCATGACAACCATTTATTACATTTACCCCATTTATAAAACATACTAATATCTGATTGAATTTTTCAGGGTCACTATCGGTTAGGGACAAGTTTGGTTGGTCTCAGAATGTATGGTGAAGCCTGTGAAGCATTCTCTAAAGCATTGCATTTTGCTGATGATCCTAAAGATAAGATGGATGTTCTTCTTCAGATCATAAATTCTGCACTGAATATTCCTTGTGAGTATATGCTTCAAAAGAAAAATAAGTAATTGCTCTGTCCCAAGTATTCCTAGGGAGTCAAAAAAAGGGGTAAATTTTAAGATTTAATAGAAAAATGGACTAGCTGCGTATTGTTTAAGACATAATATTTTACTAATCTTCAGATTTTGACAGTTTTCKTGATCTTTGTTTCAGCGGGWTTGGAAGGTGTCCAAGTAAAAATCCCAATGCCACTAGTGCAGGGCTTAGTCAATCATTTTGTAGAAAAGAAAGATTGGGAGAAACTAGGGTTTCTCTTCTTAGGAGGAAGTGGAATACCACTGCACATTCATGGCCAGGGTGGACTAGCAACAGGATGTAATGCTTCTTGTGTTCCATTAGAGCTTATTGTTAGTGCGACTATCAAGAACGTTAACCTCCCAAACTTTGTTGAAGCTTTRATAAAGAATGGAGCTCCATTCAAAGGCTCACCTGGTTGTTCTGAATCACCACTGAAAATTGCTACTAGAAGGAAAGATCAGAAACTTCTTGATGTCTTGCAGAAGTATGACAAGGTTTGGGCCATTAGGGCATTAAAGGATTAATAAACACTGTACACAGATAAAAACTCCAAGAGTCACAGGCTTCCTGTCTTTTCTGGGAGCCAGAAAGGGAGAATGGGAGAAAATGAGGAAGAGCGTGTGACTTCTTCTTTTTAAAAAAATGACTGTTACAAAGGAATTCAAAGGAGGAATAAAGGTTGACTAGGAAGGAGACTATACTAGGTGGGACATTGTCCCTAATTGCTGGAGGAACAATTATTTTCTCCCTTCAGCAACACAATGGTTGGTCATCATTCAAGACAAAATTGTAAATAATTTTAAATTTCTTTATTTTATTCCTCAGAGTAATGCTGTCAACTTGCTTGAAAAAGGAAAAAGTGCATTTGATCAGAAAGATTTCAGAAAAGCCATTAACTTGTTGAGTACAGCTGTTAAAGGGGAACTGAGTCCAAGCCAGTTTTTACTGGCCTACCATCTGTTATCTGATTCATATTATGAAATGAAAGACTACCAAAACTGCATTGACTATGCCTGGAAAGCATTCAAAAATGATCCTCGGCAATTCAAGGTAGTATTCAAGTTATTCGATTAAGTCTATTCAGCCTCAGTATAACATGGCATAATTTATCTAGGAATATGCTGAAAAGTGGAAGAACCGTGGTAATGTCTTGCTTGAATTGAAGCTCTACAATGTGATGACTGAATTCTATTCATTAGCCTTACAATATGCACCTACTAGTTGCACTGACATGCGTGCTGCCATATACAGCAATAGAAGCATGGCTTAYGTCAATCAACAGAAGATGAAAGAGGCTAAAGACGATGCGCAACACTGTATCAAACTTAAAAAGAYTTGGTTCCGTGTAAGTAATGAAATGTTTTTTTACAAGYCCCTTTGATGATATAACAAATGATGATCACATAATAACAGATTGATAGCAKTACATATCCTATCGAAATGACCACTTCTGAATCAATTTGAACTTTGTCATTAAACAGCTTTAGTAAACTCAGCACTCATATCATGGTGACATGACTGTATCTGTTATCAGGGTTATAGCCGACTAGGTGCTTGTTGGGCAGCAGAAATGCGATACGATGAAGCAATAAACGAGTATTGCAAAGGCATCCATGCGGTTAAAACAGACAATGAAAAATCWAATCTTTTGACAGAGATCMTAACTGCATGTGTGAAACTTCCTGGTAGGTATTAGCAGATTTTTATTTTTATTGTGCATGATTTTTGTMACCAATACATCCTCCCATCCATAAGTCCTTCCTACTTCCATTCATTTTTTCATTTTTCCATTTCATCCATGCATTACTGTTCTTCATATATCTCTATTCCCTTCACTCTTCCAAGACACCACTACATTACTAGTAATAACCCTTTTTTGCCATTTCATTCATTTTTATCTTTCTTTCATTCACTTCACGTCTTTAATTTTTTTTATCCTTTGGGCATCTTTTTTATCAGTACTCTTCCGTTCCAGTTTCATATGACTTAATCCGTTAATTATTTCTTGTTTACATAGATGTCATCATCACGTTACCAATAAACATTCCAACCAAGCTGATGAACAGTGTTGTCAAACAAGCTGTGAAGGATAAAGATGTGATCAAGCTTAAAAGACTTTTTGTGGAAAAAAGATACTGTTTACCAGGTTTGACATTTTACTCTGAAAAATTCATATATACACCCGTCACCTGTGACGTCAAAGCGGTTTAATCTGGAGGACAAAACAAGATTTTTGCCCTCTTATCTTGGCAACTAGAATCCAATGGCTTTGTTTTGTTTATGTCTTTACAACTGAACAGTATTAATTCGATTGACAGTAAATTATAGTTTCTTTTGAAACAAGTATTTGATTTTTTTACCAGGTTTAAGGGAGCCTCAGTGTCTGGGGAACGCTTGTGATTCTGTATCGTGTATACCATTGGAGATGATCATAGAGTCCGGAATATCTGAGAAAGATCGACTGATTGAGGAACTTCTTTTGCGTGGGGCTTCTGCTAATGGCCTCGGTAGTTCTCGCCAACCACCAGTTTGTCTGGCCTTGAACGAACGTAACTATAAGACGGCAGTAGCACTGCTACGACATGGCGCCAACCATCAGGTTATACTAAAGAACAGACGAGAACCCTTCGATCCAAAGGTATTTTCATTTGCGGAGTTAATTTTCCGATAAGTTCCTCTTCAATACACGAATTGACTAATGATACAGCACGTTTTATCATTGCAATATAATAGATATGTGTTATTCCATTCCTAGGCTCAACATCTCATTCAATGGCTAAACCTAGGTCGTARAGCGTTCAGAAACAATGAGTTCTCAAGAGCTGAAACGTATTACTCTCTTGCTTTGGAGTATCCTGAAGCTGCCAAAGACAAATCAGCACAAAGCGAGGCATTGAAAGCTTTGTCAGATATATGTTTTGAACAAAGACAATATGAAGAATGTATGATAAAAGGCAAAGAGTGTTTTAAAGTAAATCCTCAAAAGTCAGAGGTAAGAGGTTCAATGAAAACTATATCTGACTTTGTAGCAGACTGGCACTCACTCTTTTGATGTMACAATTCAATAATGATAATACTTAACAAATGCTTGTTCTTTTTGTTTGTGTAGAGCGAAGCACAGAAATGGCAAAAGCGCGCTGGTGTTCTAGTTGACAAAGAAATGTATCCCATGGTTCCAAGCTATCTTACACATGCCATGAATTACGCTCCTCCAAGTAATGGGCAGTTGCGATTCGAGTTGCTTTGTTCACGATCCGATGCTTACAGAAAGATCAAAGACTATCAGCAAGCAATCGAGGATGGTAACAATGCTACCAAGATAAARCCCGGAGAGATTCAGGTAAGAAACGTTCAAGATGTTTTCGCTTTGTTTTGTTCTGCTGTGCTTCATTTTGGTCTCGTTTTTTGATTATTTATAAAAGCAGATATTTCCTCAAACTCAAAATKTTAATATTTKTCAGGGTTATAGGTGCCTTATTCACTGTTACAAGACGCTAGATCGTCCTAGCAAGACTCTTTTGGCTCTATGCAACTGTCTTAAGGCTGTTAATATCAGTCCAGATGAAAGGCACACGTATTTCGTTGAGGCATTAAACATTGCAGCTTCCCTACCCGGTAAGGCAGTGAAATATGAAAGTGAGGGTAAAAGATAGTAGTGAGGTTCATTATGGTCAGCCAGTGCGAGCATAAAAAAAATATAACTGTTATTTTTTCAATAACATATTGTATGTGTCAATTTCTAGAAGGTACAACTGCCTTGAAAGTGGAGGTGCCACGAGCTACATTACAGCATATACATGATGTAGCTGTTCAGTCAGGGAATTGGGAGCAAGTTCGTCTTCTTTATTTGGGCGGTGGCGGACCACAGAATTATGAAGTACGGAAAGGAGGCTTGGGTACGAATTGCATCTGCTCAAAGAACGTTCCCGTGGAAGATATGGTGTCAGCAAGTTTTTCGTTAAAGTCTGAAACACTCGCAGCTGTTATTGACCATGGTGCAAATGTTAACGGTCTTAGAGGCAACRCCAATCCTTTGGAAATTGCCGCAACTAAAAAGGATGTTGAAACGATTAAAGTCTTCGTAGAACGCGGAGCCAACCCCTGCATTAAGAGTGAAGGTTTACCTTTGTTGCACAAAGAAGTCAAAAAAGCTATGGATACAGGTAGAACAATGCTATTGATTATTTTACTTTTAAAACTCTTACCCAAATAGGAATATTTTCCCAAGGTTTTGAATTATTTTATAACAACGTTAYTATCTTTTAGGAGATTTGGAAGTGCTTCAAATGCTTTTAACGTCCCCTCATCCTGACGTCCAAAATGTCCAAGATTCCAATGGGAATACCTTGTTTCATATCCCTATGACTGGAAAGAAAAACACTGAGAAGTGCAAAGTCTTGAGATGTCTCATTAACGCCAAAATAAATCCTGTTCTTCCGAATAAACAAGGGAAGCAGCCAATTGACTGCTGTAATAAGAGAGATGACCGCAATAAAATGCTTAAGAAGTTCATGAAGGAGTACGTACCAAAGCCAGTAAAGGAGAGTAAACCCGTGAATGTCCAAAAGGAAAGCAACAATTATAGCTGCAATCCCATGCAATCATTACCTAAAGATACCTTGGACGATAGACCAGCGCCTGAAGAAACCTCGGAAAAAAGAGCCCCACAAAAAGATTCTTGGGAAGATAAAGCTATAGAGGACGTTGAGAACAAGACACCATGCGAAAGGGTGACCGTAGAGGAGCCAAAGATTCCCATATCCAAACGCAAAGTGGATATTATAAAAACGAAAAAGAAAGAAGATGAACGAAGGTACATGTTGTATCTTATTGAACACTTGGATATAGAACTGATAAAARCCGCTACCAAGGAGGACAGTCATGTAGAAGACACAGCAGATAAACTCAACGGTTTCGAATCAGAACATGATCCTGGAGAACACGATACTCTGGAAGATGATATAGATGCATWTGAAGAAGATGAAGTCCCAACTGCAAATGGTGCAAATGGAGAAATTGAAMCTGGTGATTTGGCATCGCCATTTGAAAACCTTACCTGGGAAGTGGATTGCACCGAGAACGTGTGGAAGAGCATGAGAAGCAGAAAGGTACCAGAAAAGACAAAAGAACAAATTATTCGTAAAATTCGTATGCTGGCAGAAGGACGTTGGGGCAARAAGCTGTGCAAAAGGCTTGAAGGCGAGGCTAAAGAGAAGGGGATTCTTTTATATGAATCAAGAATTACCAGGAGTTCTAGAATATTATGGGAGAAGWCGATTGCCTTTTCTGCAAGATGCAGTAATGACCCAAAGCTTCGATTGTCAGCAGGGGACCAAGGATTAATATATTCTGACATAATTCGTGTTTGGGACATTGTKCTAGATCACAAAGATTTAGAGCATAGAATACAAAACATTGTMAAATCKCACGATCGAGGTTCTCATTGCATCGTTAAAGCAGAATTGAAGGGAATGAAAAAACAGAATCAAGGTGAAAGCCARTTGTCGCTTCCTTCTTACTATCAAGAACGGAAGATTACCCAAGAAAAACAACCAACTGTCCAKGACAAAAATGGTGATGTCCGTTTTTTYCCGCCAGCAAGTTCAGAAGACAACGAGTACCATATYTTGAAGTTTTATTCCTTTACATCGGCTTTGATCGACACCTTACTAGACAATGACCAAAAGAGTAAGATCGACTTTCCATTCAAAGTGACTGAGCTTGAGCATGCTATTATCAACTTGAAGACAGATAAACCACGTGCCATCATTCTACTTGGACGAAGTGGAACTGGTAAAACAACCTGCTGCCTTTATCGTCTTTGGACTGAATTTCAAGTCTACTGGGAGAGAGCAACCAAYGCAGGTCCGCACATTCCCAAATTTGTTCCAAGTGAAATGACAAGGGATGACGATGAAGAGGAAGAGGAAGACTGTAAAGATGAGGCGAGTTGTCCTTCAACCTCTGATGATTACCTACAGGGAGAACATTCCCATGACCAGTGCAGCTATTCATCAGAGCCATCTGTATCGAGCCAAGTAGAGTTTGTCTGGAAACCATGCGAGTCAGAGGAGGTTGAGGAAACTGAAGAAAGCTCACCAGACGAATACGAGCATCTTCATCAAATGTTCATCACAAAGAACACCGTCCTTTGTAGTGAGGTTCAGAAAAACTTTAAGGAACTGAAAAATGCTTTCCCAGAAACCAAGCACTTGGTGAAGACTGACGATTCTTTACCAAACCACATTGATGAAATAGATGAAGAGGCATGGCCATTGTTCATCGGATCCCGTGATTGGCTGCTTCTGCTTGATGCGTCGTTACCTGGGACAGCATTCTTTAAACGTGGAAAGGATGGAAGCTTGTTGGGAAAGATTGAAGGTTGGGGCCAAGAAGATACTCACCTTCATTTTATTCCAGACGAAGATRATGATGATGATGAACTCGATGACAAAGTGGAACAGGAAGGAGCTATTCCAGAAAATGCAGATCAGCAATCCTCAAAGTCAGACAAAAAAAGTAGTAACAAGAGAGAAGTAACCTATGAAGTATTTATCAACGAGCTTTGGCCAAAGATGAAGAAATCAGTGAAAAATGACTTTCACCCAACTCTTGTCTGGACAGAAATCAGATCATTTATCAAAGGATCTGCCGAGGCGCTGAAAACCAAGAATGGTTATCTTTCTTGTGATGAGTATGAAGAGCTTGGTCGGAAGAGAGCACCAAACTTTATGGGGGACAGGTCCACTGTTTATCAACTGTTTAAAATCTATCAAAACATCATTCGCAGCTCCAGAAAGATGTTTGATGAGGCAGACTTGGTATACAATTTGCACCAACGCCTGATGAAGAATCAAGACATTGAATGGTCTATTCACAACATTTACGTAGACGAGACACAAGAYTTCACTCAAGCTGAGTTGCATCTVCTCATTCTTTGCTGTCGATTCCCAAATCGGATGTTCTTCACCGGAGATACCGCACAAAGCATCATGAGAGGAATAGCATTCCGTTTTGAAGATCTGAAAACATTGTTCCATGTCATTAAAACGTCTGATCTTAAGAGATCTAAACGTGAGCTTGTYAGAGTCCCGCATCGTCCTTACCAGTTAACTCACAATTATCGWTCTCATGCAGGCATTTTAAGGCTAGCTTCAAGYATCGTGAATCTTCTGCAGGACTACTTCCCTGAATCGTTTGATAGGCTTGAAAAGGATTGTGGTCTGTTTGAAGGTCCGAAACCAGTTCTTCTAGAGTCTTGCAGCGTGACCGACTTGGCAATGATTTTGAGAGGRAATAAAAGACAAGCTTCAAGAATTGAATTTGGAGCCCATCAAGCAGTCCTKGTTGTCTCTGATGAAGCTCGTGAAAAGATGCCAGATGAATTAAAGTATGGCTTGGTTCTGACCATTTATGAAGCCAAAGGYCTTGAATTTGATGATGTTCTGATTTACAATTTCTTCAAGGATTCTCACGTAAGTATATTGTGAAAATTATTATTTTGATTTTTCTGAKGGTCCATTGCAGCTGGGCAAATAGTTCAATTCAAATTAGATATAATGATMTTGGCAGCGCTAATAGGAATATATGGGAACAAACGCTCTTTTTRTAACCAACCATATTTTGCAAGATATAAACTGTTGAATGTTATTTCTTTATAATCTTACAGGCTAGAAAAGAATGGAGAGTTGTRACAAGYTACATAGAAAAARGCCGCGCAGAGGCCTGTTCTGCCWCCACTGGACTTGTTCAAATTCAAGAAGAAGATCTAAATCTGAGGTCTAGACCCCTTGAATTCAATCCSGAAAAGCACAAAGTCTTGAATTCAGAGTTGAAGTTCCTTTACACTGCAATTACCCGTGCAAGAGTGAATGTATGGTTCTTTGATGAAGACGAAGAAAACCGTGCACCAATGTTTGAGTACTTTCAACGACTTGACCTTGTACGTGCTATCACATTAGACGACCGAGAAGAGGGCACAACAGCTTTGTCATCGATGTTTGCAGAAGGCTCAACCGTTTCCGAATGGAGAGACCAAGGACACTTCTTTTATAACAAAAGCCTATGGGATGTAGCTGAAMGATGCTTTACTTTTGGGAATGAYGAGATGATGGTACGAAGATGCAAGGCACAGAAACGAGCCCAGGAGGCATTGCARAACCGAAGCAATCCTAAACTCATGAAGGAGATGTTTTGCACTGCCGCTAAAGAATTTTTGGACTGTGGTATGCCAGCAGAAGCTGAGGTGTGCTTGTWTAATTGTCGTGAGAAAGTGCTWCTTGCAAATCTGTACAAAAAGATGCAAMGGGTAAGTTTGCAATATCATTGTTATAATGTTTTTTACAATACCTAATTGCGGTATTTTCTCTTATATTTGTAGTTTGCAGAAGCTTCAAAACTTTTCCGTGCTGAAAAGTGTTATGACGAAGCCAGTCAGTGTATGGAAGAAATAAACAATTACAATCAGGCAATAGAAATATTTTGTGAGGGTAAYCTCTACGAGAAAGCGATTCAAGTACTAGAGCGCTATAACTCCTTAAATGTCGAAAGATCGCTGGAGAATCATGGAATTGTCCCACCCAAACCAAACAGAACCATTGAGCGCCTTTGCTACAAGCTGGCTGAGACGTACTATAGTGAAGGCAGCAGACAAGAAATGGAGGCGGTTTTACAGCGTCTTCCACCAGGAGACCGCATTTCATTTTTYAAGAAGCATAACTGTGTTGAAGAAGCCGCCAGAGCATTAGTTGAAGATGAAAAGAAAGAAGAAGCAGCRAGATTTCTTCAGCTACATGGTCGCTTCAAAGAGGCGATGAAATATTCAGAGGATCCTAAATTCCTTGCAGATTGCAATTTGTTTGAAGCTCGATCATTGATCATTTCAAAGAGAKATGGAAGAAAGATTGATGTTAAAGCGGAAACAGTGGAGGAATTGCTAGAGGATGCTCTCAAGTACTACAAGAGGTGTAGTGACAAGAGTGGAGAAGGAGAGRCCATGCTGCTCCTTGGACTGCAGCGTGACAATATCAGTGATATACAAGAGTCTGGAAAAGTCTTTTTCAACAATAATGATGTTTGTGGAGAAGCTGAATGTGTGAAGGAAATGTTGGAAAGAGATGCCGACCCATTTTACTACAGGATATTCGTACGATCCGTCGAAAGGTTCTTGGAATTGATAATAAATCTGCACAAGCCCCACACTCAACTTCGAGCAGACAAACAAAGGGAGATTACTCTGTGCGAAAAATTCTTTGGGCTTTACACAACACCAGACCAAAACGTCCGAAGGTATTTTACCAGAACATCTGAACGATTTCAAGATTTATGTGATAATGATGATTTTAATCAAGACGTTACAAGCATACAGAAAGATGTTAATGTGAAGATTGCCTACAATACCCTTGCCAGCCACCTTATGAAGAAAGCGATCGGCCTTGTTCTTAAGACCACAAAATTTCTTAGTTCTAAGTTAGAAGCTATTGGACAGCCCTCTGGCCCAGCAGCCTWCAACGGAAGATTTGATATACTGTTCAATTGGGTTCATTTGGATGGAGCAGTATTGAAGTTTCAGAACCAACTGAAACGATTGAAAACCCCAATATCACAACTGTCAATCGACCATCTTTCAGGAAAGGAAAGCAAGTCGTACGTGTCTTGTAATCTACTCTTTGAGTTTATTTGGCCAAAAGCGGGACCTGACACTCTCCAACTTACTCAAGATCAAATCCAGAARATCCGGAAACATCATGCAGTCAAATCCATGTTGATGTCATTTTGTGACTCTCTGTGCAAGAAGACAGAATCCTTCCTATCTATTGATGCTCTTCTTCAAATTTCTTATCTCATGCAGATCCTGGATATGCATGACTGGATGAATCGATTCCTCAAGGAAAAAGAACAGTCTTTCTTAACACACATGACAAAAGCAGCAGGAAAAAAGAAAGGACAGCTGATGCATGAAAGCGGAATGCTRCAGTCTTCTGACCAATCATTTGAGATCTTTTTCCGTCACTGGGAGAGAGGGAAAAAACATCTCCACGTAAATGGATATGTTATTCAATCCCTACATGAAATCTGTAGGCGTTTCCTGACGTACGCTGCCAAGCACCGTTCCTTGACATACCCTTCCATTGCCAATACAGTGATGATACTAGAACATCAACTTACAGTGGCTTTACTGATGCTTAGCAGGTTRAACTCTCGACTATCGAATTACTCGTCTTGCATTCCTGAAAGCTATCTTTCAAGGCTGATATTTGCCGACGGTGTCAACTGCACACACCGAAAGCATTTGTTCTCAATTCCAGCAGTTGATGACTTTGCAAGATCTCTTAACACTTTCAAAGAAGAGCAAAAAAGTCAAAGAGATACACTCAGTCTTCTTAATTACATTGTCGACTTAATGTTTGGAGGAATCAGCAACCGCTTCAATGTGTATGCAGATACATTTTCCTCGCGAGAAACTGAGCAGTTAGTTAARTCAGGAGTCGCAGAAAGGGTCATGATTTTAGCTTTGACGATGCTGGTGAATTGTGAAAGGGCCATTTCTGTAGAAGGCCAGAAAGTCATTCTTCAGAACGTTTTTTCAGTGATGCCGCCAGCTTCATTGCCAGAACACTTGAAAGATGCCTTCCGGAAGTTGAATGACGCACGTTCCTTTGGCGATGTTGTCGAGATCTTGAAAGCAATTCTTTCATCAAGACGTGGAGAGAAATTCTTCGATTTTCGATGGAAGGAATGTGCTTTAGGATTAGACCAATTGCATATTGCACAGCCATGTAACCACACTATGATGTTTGCAGTAGATGTACAAGAAATCAAGCATAGTCTCTCTCAAGTTAACAGTACAGAATCTCGTCTTGAGTCCCCATCTCATCAAAGTGTAAAAGAAGCGAAGGAAGAAGAAGAATTCGAGGTCCAAGAAGATTTTGACCGTGAAGTTCAGAGTTTTGCTGATTCTGAAAGGGAAAAGGAACTGCAAGAAGAGCAAGACAAATTACACGCAGCCAAGACAATACAGAAATGGTTCAGAAAATACCATCATCGTAAATTACTTGCAATGGAAGTGGAGGAGGGTTTTGAGGGTGATACAGAAGTTCTGCAGAGCGTTGATCGYTTATCGTCTCAATTCAAGATTGATTCTTCTGCGTGCGCAATATGTGGTGAAACATTTACATCCGAAGAAAGCTCCTTGACACTRGAAGGTAGGATTTTGAAGGACTAATAATGGCAAGAATATAATTTTCCTAATAGATTGCATTTTTTTCAGATCATATAAAAAGTGACTTGCACACCAAAGCACAACACGAATTCCAAGAGTACAAAGACTTTTACAATGAGAGCGTCGAATCAGTTCTTAACCAGGCAAAGTCTCTACACCAAGAAGTCGACAAAAATTTGGATTTGGATGTAGATATGCAAAAACTCGAAGAGATGTCACAGAAAGCGTGGGAAATAGCGCAGAATATTGAGAAAGACAGAAAATGGAAAGATGTGAAAGGTCTGAAACAACTTATTCAAAAAATAGAAAGTAAAGTACACGATATTCAGAATATGACAGGTAATGAACTTAATGAATTTATTTGAGGTATTTGAGAGTCAGAAGCGTTGTTGATCCAAGCGTCATTATATTTTTCAGCGGAAGTACAAGGACAACCCNTAAATTAAATAGAGGGAAATTTAGTAAAAGACAAAAGAATCCTTTGTCTTCTAAATTTCCCTCATGTTATTCATGAGGAAAATTGGAGTTCCTTTGCCTTCTATACTTCCCTAATGCCTTGCACAATGAAAATATAGTAGACTAGATACCCCTCAAAAGAATTTCTACTGAAAACAGGTCTCCTACACCATATGGCACTAGCATGTCTTGCATGTGGGACATTGTTTACCTAACTGCGCATGCCTGTGCACTTAGTTAAAAAAAACGAAAATGTCTATGACAGATTTATTCGCAGTCACATAAAAAATATAATGAAAAATCACTTGTTTAAAATCGTTTGCTATAGCACCACATTGCACTTACACTTTTGCCAAATCGAAATGAAGCATCGAAAGAAATAGCGTTCAATACAGCAAAACTGATATAATCAATTTTAATTCATTGAACTTAGCTGTCTGTTCTAAACGAAAACCTCTCAGACATGTTGTTTGAGCATTGTATACGAATTTTAATTCTGCGATATAAATATTATCTTTGGTGCCCTAAGGGACTACAAAACAAGTGCATGAAATAGTACTAACGAACAAATGTTGAATCAATTACACAATGAAGACAAAGTAATGTGTTTGAAAACTATTGTTTGATTACATCATTATCAAGCCTAGGTGTCCTAGGTGTACAATACGCTAAGGAGCTAGTTATGCATTTTGGCGGCGTTGTTTACGCTTCCTTGACTAGAAAACTGAACATGATATCAAAGATGTTTCCTTACTTCCTCGCCGATAATAGTATTACAAAGTAATACCATGTCACTCGTGAAATTAGTGATTAAATTTCCCCGATACCTCGGGAAAATTTGTAAAAGTCCCTCGGGCTGCGCCCTCGGGACTTCCACAAATTTTCCCTCGGTTTCGGGGAAATTTAATCACTAATTTCCCTCGTTCCATGGTATTACTTATAATAATAGCATGGCTCTGAGGGAGATTAGGGATTAAATGTCTCCAAAGCCGAGGGCATATAAGTTGAAGTCCCAATGGCCACAGACCGGGGGTATTGGACAGGTTTGAGACCACAGGCCCTAGACTCAATGTTCACTTCCTGTTGTTTTGGAAAAAGTATAAAGCCAGTTAGGTTACATACTTGACCAAATGGACACAAAATAACATTGAAATTTGAAAAACAAACTAGTTTCAGGCTAGCTTTTGAACAGGTTGTGCCCTCCCCCCTGACTTGCCAGGGAGAATGGGGAACAGATTCTTGTCACAGCATTCACCAGAATGACACAGCCAGTGATCTAATAGACTTCAACAAGGGCTGCAGAAGTGGATACAGAAAATTCCTTCAGCATTCTGTTCTGTAGCACCAATATCCTTTCGAGTGATCGCACTTAATCCGTGCAACTATACAAACTAAATAGTGCTATTTAGTACGCGAATTAAATATGGAGCATTCAATACCATCTTACTTCAGGTCCACTTTTAGTACAGATTAGTACTACTTAGATTTTGTACAGTTGCATGCTTTAAGTGCGATCACTCACACTAATGTTACATGCATGTAATTACTGCAAATGTTCCTAAAACGTTTTAGAAAGCACTATAAATTCTACAAAAATTAAGACAGCTTAAGATGCTTACTGTTAGTGTGAAACCTTTTCTTTTGTACCTTTTCTTTTGCTGTACTGTTCATTCTAACTTAATAGTACCTAATACTGTTGAAGATTTAATATCATTCACAATAGTGATACTAAAAGCAATGCTGAGTAAATGGGCCCATACGGTATATTATGTGGTGCATAAGATATTACTTTGTAACGAATGGTTATGTCTTCAGTTGGTGAAAAAGCAGTTTCTAACAGGTCTCTATTAAAATGCTGGAGGAGCACTTGCTTTGGTATCTACCGGTGGAGGATACTGAAACTGTTGATTTGTACTACCCTGTGCAGCTGGGGGATATGGGGGGTTAGGCTGAGATGCCATCTGGGGATTGTAGGGTGGCTGAGGAGGATAACCGGGTGGTCCAGGATACTGAGGTGGAGGATCACTTGGTGGTGGATAGCTGCCCTGTACTGCAGGAGGGTAGTTGCTTCCTGGAGGAGGATAGCTACTTCCTGGTGGAGGGTAACTACTTCCTGGAGGTGGGTAGYTGCTAGCAGGAGGAACAGGAGGATAGCCTCCAGCAGGAGGTGGAGGATAGCTTACGCCAGCCTGTGGATAGGTCCCTTGAGGAGGCACAGGTGCTTGAGGTTGCATGGGGTACTGTGTTGTTGTTGTTGTAGTTGYTGCTGTTGTARCAGGAGGGTGGCGTACAACTTGTCCAGACGTTCTTTGTCTTTTCACAATACAAATGCAACAAGGTATGAGAATAACAACAACAATAATAACAGCAATTATTGCACCAACAATTACACCAGTTGAATCTGAAATAAAAATATCACATGAATATAATTAACAAAACAACACATAATGTGTCCTGCATCTGTACTGTAACAT